AGGTAATCCACAATCCAGGACACAATGAGGGCATCCACCTCCATTGCTTTCTGTTTCTCAGCCAGTAGAGCCGGCATGATGGTGTTGAATACACTGGAGAAGTCAAAGAACGACTGTCACATGGCTCTCTGGCTTGTTCACATGGGTGTCGACACAGTTGAACTGGTAGATGATGGCGTCCTCTACTTCTAGTCGGCGATGATAGGCGAACTGGAGGGGATCCAGAAGTGGTCTGACCATGGGCCGAAGCTGTTCAAGGATGAGTCTCTACGGGGTCTTCATGATGTGTGATATCAATGCCATGGGTCTGTAGTACTTGGTGCCTATGAGGCACGACATCTTGAGTACAGGAAGGTGCACGTTTTCCACATAACAGGGACCTTGTGAAGATTCAGACACAGGTTGAAGATGATGTGGAGGACTCCACATAGCTGGGGAGCACAGACTTCGTGCACCCAGGGTTCTCACACCATTCAGGGCGCAAAGTTGTCTGATTGGAGTCTGCTCCGGCCAACCAGAGGGCAAGTGACTTTAAAAACATCACCCCTGACATGATCATGGCTGATGGTCAATGTGGAGGTGACAGGTGGGAGAGGGTGGAGGTGTTATACCCAAGAGTGCATTCAGTCTGGAAGTGTGAAGGGGGCCATCACAGGAAGATAAGGGGCTGTGGGATGGGGGAGGGTGCAGGTGAGCTGAGTACACAGAGTAAAATCTGTTGAAAAACAGATTCATCTCATTGGTTAGGTCCACACTGCGTTCCACTCCTCTGCTGCTGGATGGTCTGTAGCCAGTGACGGTCGTCATTCCACTCCACACCTCTCTCATGTTGTTCTGCTTGAGTTTCCACTCCAACTTCCTCCTGTATTTGTCCATGGCTTCTCTAATCTTCACTTTCATTTCCCTCTTGATCGTTTGCAGCTCCTCCTTGTTGCCAGCTCTGTAAGAAAATTATTTATGTCCTTTGTGTCCTTTGTCACCCACAGCTTGTTATTTGGGTTACAAAAGACAGCCTGTCATGGGGCGATGGTGTCGGCGCAGAAGTCAATATAATCAAGCTTTGAGCCTATCAATGTGCTCTCCATGCAGCTCACAAGAGCGTTTGCCAGTCGGTCACCTCGATGCAGCCCTGCAGGGTCTCATTGGCCTCCTCAGACCATCTCCTGATGGTCTTAAGCCCGGCGTACACTGTGCGATTTTTCGGTCGTGCGAGAATCTTTCAATCTGCCCGACTTTCCGTCTGATCGTGCATCGTATAGTGTACAGGGGGATACTAGCGGCGATCAGCCTCCCACGACCACTTCCCGATCAGGAATCGTGATGCCGGGAGAATATCAGACATGTTTGATTTTCTCCCAACCGTCATTGGAAATTGCTCAGGGCGCAAACAAGGATTCTTCTTTTAATTCTTCCTCTCAGATGTAAACACAGCAGCGGGATGGCAGGGAGACAATGAGTGAAATGCAGTTCTGTCTGTAAAATTGACAGACCTTAGTAGCCACATTTCCCCTCCATGTCTTTTTTTCAAATACGTTTTCGCGTTTTCTTTTTAGGACTTTCAGCACAAAACTGCACAAATTGACAAGGCAGCGCGGTTCACTATAGTGAGCTTAATATCCCCCTTCTATTTGTGTGGCTTCTGGATAGAGAGCTACAGAGCAGCTCCATCCCACTTCGGAGCTCAGTCTGACGTGGTTTTTGTCTCACAGTGTGAGCAGGTAGATCGCATCAGAGCGTCGGGCAGAACATAAATCGTGAGCTGTGAACTCACACTGTACGACGAAACCGGTTAATCGTACAGTGTGAGCAGCAGCTGCGTGCAACGATTGAAAAAAAATCGCACAGTGTACGCCCGGCTTTAGTGGTTACAGGCTGGCTCTTTAACACAGGCATATAGCAGGGGTCTAGGTAAATCAGGTTGTGATGTGATTGATCTGAAGTGGGGGGA